CGCTGTACAGGCACAGGGGGGGATCTCCATGCCTCCCACTGCCATCAGCCTTACCAGGATGGCACAGCTGGGGAAACTGAGGCACAGGGAGGTAACGGGGTTTGCCTGGGAATGAGCTGTGGCATTTCTGCAGATCAGCTGTGAGCGACACTGGGTGGTTTGGACGCTTCTTCTCAGGGACTAAAGAGGTCCTAAGCAGCCACCCTCCAGCTTGGGCACTTCCCTGCTCTCATGGAGCAATGTCAGCTCCATGCGTGATGGGTGGGAGAGCCCTGCACGCGCGCCAGCAGAAAAGCCTTCGTCCCCAAAGTGCCACCAGCTCTTGTGCAGACCAGGAGTCACAGCTACTCCTTCCATGTCCACTTCAAAACTCCGCACAGAGGGTGCTGGGGAATCACCTGCACCGCGGGTCGGGCGGTCACGGGGCAGAGCCCACAGCAGCCACATCCCCATCTGTGGGGAGTCATACTCCTGTGGGAGCCAATGCACTTTTTGGGGGGCACAAAACACCCCACCACCTCAGTTCCTCACCTGAGTCCACCTGGCTATTCCTGCGTCGCTTCCCCAGTGCTGTCAGGGCCATCGAGGTCTGAAGAGCTTCAGTTTTCTTAAAGCCGCTGCTTTTTTGTGCTTTGCTTTCAACTTGTGCTCTCTTTTTCTCATCCCACTGGAGACAACACAGCGCAGAGGAGTCCCTGGAGCTTGGCCACCCACTCCCTCCCTTTATGTCTTGTTAAGACTTCACTGTGGGCTTTGGTGGTGCCTCTGTAAAATGATGCTCGGTGTTTCTTTGGGTCCTAAAGCTTTCCTAAGGCCAGGGAGGAAGAAAAAACCAACCAAACAAAAAAATAATGCAAAACCCCAAAAGGCAGAAAGCAACAATGATGGAGGTAGAGTGGTGATACGGGGCCGTGGGCAGCTGGGGTGCAGGGAACCTACACCCTGGGACCGTGCAGGGCAGGGGAAGGGCAGGGAGGGCTGGAGGGGGAGGGAAAGCCACCACCCCGTGGTGACAGTTCTGCAGAGCCCCCAGGGCTGCAGCCAGGAGTGCCGAGGGTGGGCGCAGCGGGCAGACCAGGCTCCCTGCGGTGTATGGCACAGCAGCAGCCTTGGAGGACTTTGCAGGAGGGTGGGTGACATTAGCTCTGTCACAGCCGGTGCTGCCCCAGTAGGAAACGTCGCCCTCCCCTGCTTGCCCAGCGGCACGGGCTGGCTTGTGCAAGAGGTCCTGGTGTCCCAGTCCCGAGTTGCACAATGAAATAAGCTCACCCAAATTCACTCTTCCGAAGTTTGCGGTTATTGAGGAGCAGCTAAAATTAACCCTCCAAATCCCCCAAAACCCTGGGTGCTGGTGAAGCCTCCTTACAAGCACCACACACCAGCACCTGCCACGTTCCTCCCAGTCCAAACCTACCCAAGGTGCATCCAATCTTACATCCAGGAGCAATTAAGTGAGCAACACAGCAATTATCGCCCTACCCACCCTTTGCAGTCCCAGTCCATACGACCCTATAGCAATCCCTACAGCCCCGTGGAGGAGGAATAAATTAGTATCTGGCACGGGGTTCCCTAGCAAGATACTTCCCACTCTGGTCTGTCCGCAGCCCGGCCGTGGCTGGGTGAGGATGTTCTCCAGCCATTGCAAAGCAGCTTTTAAAGGGCAGATCTTTCCCAGAGCTGCGTGCTCAGCCTCTTCGAGCACCTTTTCCAGAGGGCTCAGCCGCCCCTGGGGTCCTGAGGGGTTAAATGCTGGAAGATCTGGTCTGGAAAATGAAAGAAGGACTATCTTTGGCAATTCCAGCTGGGTGGGTTGGTCTGCAGTGGCATTGCAGGATGGTGGGTTGGAGAGGGAGGGAGGAAAGGTCTCCATCAGTGCAGGGCAGCCGGCAGCTGTGCCCGGAGCTGCTTGGAGCAGACCAACCGGTTGTAATGAGACACAGCTGCTCCCCAAATCTGCCCTCGAGCCTCGCAGGGAGCCCTCATAGACTCAGCAGGAGGCATGGTGTGGGTGCTGTTTGGGAGACGGGGCCCTCCCCTTGCTCAGGTGAGAGGAAGGAAGCAGCGGGGAGAGGAGGAGCTGAAGGGTGAGCGAGTGTCACTGCTGGCAGAGAGCAGCTCCTGGGGTTTCTGGGCCGGTTGCCCCAAAGTTGAGGAGGCGCTGAGGTTCAGTAGCTGCCCAGGTAACGGGGAAGGTGCTGGGCAGTTCGTGGCGTGCGATGGGTGGGCAGCGTGGGTGTGCAGGGTGGGGAGGGTGCGCTGCTCGTGGGGTGGCCAAGCTTGCTGCCACCTAGGAGCAGAGCAGGCTAGTGTGAGCAAAATATCTGGCTTATTTGGGGATGCTTTCTAGCTGGAGAGGTGGATATGAGCTGTGCTGCCTCCATGGGGGAGGATTGTCCCCTTTGTCCTCAGCAAGAGCTGCGTGGTGAAGGGCTGCGATCCTGCTGGTGCTGGGGTGGAGGGGTGGGGATGCCCTGTTCCTCCGTAGGGTTTGTTTGTTGAATGTGGCTTGGTGTCTTTGTGGTGGCTTGAAAATACCTTCTCTTGCTCTGTCCACCTATTAATCTCTCTCCAGAGTGTAACTTATTCTTCACCTCCCTGATGGACCTCCCCCACCCATGGTGGGGCTGAGAGCGGTGAGAAGTCTGAGCCTCTTTTCTCTGTTCCCTGCCTGGCTCCGGCTTTCCTGGGTGAAACCCGCAGGGAGTTAACCTCACTGAGCTGAAAACTGTACCAGGGCGGTCCTCTTCCCCCTGCCCCGAGCTCTGGGGCTGCGCAGGTCCCCTGCGACGTGCAGGCAGATGTCTGGGGAGGGGACACCTGTGCGTCAAGGTAATGGGGCATGAAATCCCACCGGGGGACTCTGGCCGCGCAGGGGGGATGTGGCCCTGGGACAAGGTGTTCGGCAGCACGTTTCGCTGGGTGGCTGCAGCGCTGCGGTAAGCCCTCGCACCCTCTGTTCGCTGTGAAGGTGCCGCACAGCGTGGGGCTGTTCCTGGGGACTCTTTCCAAGCCCCCACGGGATGCGCAGGTTTATCTGCCAGGGATTTTCCCTATGTGCTTTTCAGGTATGTCTTAACGTATACCCCAGCCGGGAGCACATCAGTGCTGCCCTGGGAGAATTGGGGCAAGCTTAATATTTTTTTTTTATTTTTTTTTTTTTACCCCCCTCCTTTCTGAGGATTCCTCCCTCTACAGCAAGGACCCCTCTCCCGTGCGCTGCCAGGCCCTGCAGCACAGCGGGGAAGGCAGCTGGAGGGCTGCCCGCAGCGGCAGCGATGCCCGGGAAAGCTGGGCTCAGCAGGTTGGTGGGTGACACCGTGACCGTGGTCTCGCTTGCAGCAGAGCTGATGAAGGCACTGAAGCTTCGGGAGCTGGCTGGTGCTTCCCTGCTGTCCCCAAAAAAAGGTGGGGGAAACCTGGGTTTTGGGCTTATTCCTGCCCGTCGGGGAGAGACGGGGGGACTGGACATGGAGCGGGGACCGTGTCTCCCCACTCAGCCCGCCTTCCCGGAGGGATGTCTGGGAATGGGATGGGGCTGAGCTTGTGCCAAGTGGATGGGAGAGGCTGGGTGCCTGCTGGGGCAGAGGGCTCATCAGGTGGCACCTGCTTGTCCTTGTCCCTTTGGGTAAGGAACTGACTCTCATCAGCCACCCCTTGGGTTGGGTGTGTGCTGGGGGCTGTGCTGAGACCCCCTGGGGACACCATGCCATCGGCTGATAGTGCTGCCAGCACAAGACGCTTCCTTTAGTTCATCTGTGGTCCTTCTGAAGTGGTCGTCCTGTGTCCTCATCCTCTCCTTGGGGCAAGGTGGGGTGCAGAGCCTCTGTGGGGCTCAGCCTCTGGTGCGATGTGCTGACACCAAGACCATCATCGTCCTGCTGATGCTGCTGTCCTGCTGGTGTCAAGTGCTGAGCAAACGGAGCAAGGGGCTCTTCTGGCCCAGGGGCTGGGACCAACACGCAGCACCTGGACATAGATCTGCAAGAAAATACTCCAGGGATTTCACTGTGGTGAGCAGGAGGCAGCCACCAGCGGTGGCCCACAGGAAGGGGGGTCTGCACAAGAGCTGTCTGGAGCCCGTGGGCCACCTTATGTGGCTGGAGGCATGGCTGTGCTGTGACCTCCAGCATGAACTGTGCCAATCTCCAGCTCTGCAGCCATGCCTCTCCTCCAGCACGGCGGAGGGGAATTGTCTCCACTCAGGGGATGAGTGGAGAAGCAGGCACAGCTTTCCTTCCACATGTTCTTGCTAATGAAAACCAGGAGCTGTGCAACCACGGAGTGCAGCAGTGCCTTTTGAAAATGGCATTGCAGAGCTGTTGGGGTGTCCTCTGGGCAGCATGACCCCTTTACTGGGGTTCCCTGGGAAGGTGGATGATGGTGGCGGGGGCCAAGGCATGGAGATCAGGGAGTTCTGGCGTTAACAAGAGCCATGTCTGGCCCATTTGGCAGTGCCTAGGTAGGACACCTTCCCCTCTGAGCGAGGAAACATTAGGTTTGGACTTCATTTCAAGTGAGCATGTGGTGTTTGCAGCAGCTCCTCAGACTTCTTGCCTCTCCGCCCTGAAGTTTTTTTGGTGCTTTGTTTTGCTTTTTCTAAGGACAGTGCAGGACAGGAGGTCTCCTGCCAGCCAGATTCTTGTTTGAACAGGATGTTGACAGCTTGATTGCAAAGTGTTCCTGTGAGACAGTATGTGCCCTCCCAAGGGGCAAATGTGGTGGTGCATCCCAACGGCAAATGTCTCTCTCCTCCAAGCTGGATGCAATAACTGGTACTCTGGCTTCTGTCCTGTTTTTTGGTGCTCACAGAGGCCTGGCTGATCTCCATCAAGGCCCTTCGTGTGTGTGCCTCAGTTTCCCTAGAGGCTTATGTGTCCCCGTGATGGGACCATGTTTGCAGCTACAAAATGACTCTCCTAGAGTAAACTTGCGTTGCATTGAACTGCCGGAGCCCTTTTCCCCCACCTGAGTCTATTCCTGTCTTTTATTTGCAGTCCCAAACAATGAACTACGTGGGGCAGCTGGCTGAGACCGTGTTCGTCACAGTGAAGGAGCTGTACCGGGGTCTGAACCCCGCCACCCTGACGGGCTGCATCGATGTGGTCGTGGTGAGGCAGCCCGATAACTCCTTCCAGTGCTCCCCATTTCACGTGCGCTTTGGGAAGCTGGGTGTGCTGCGCTCCAGGGAGAAGGTGGTAAGTGGTGACTGCCCTGGGACTGTGCTTCCTCTCTGGTGTCTTCAGACCCAGGATCTTCCCTAACTCACAGGTATGGAAGAACTTTGTTTGAGGGCAATGGGAGCCCTGCTGAAATGGGTGCTTACCAATTTTTGGAGGGGATGCCCCAAATGGACTCCACCCTCTTCCAGGAAGGACTGTGCTTCCCAGGAAAATTGGGAGAGGTCCCTTGCCTCAAAGGCTGGGTGGCTGTCAGCCCTGTGAGCAGCACCAACCCGTCCCCTCCCTGGGGAAGTGCCTTCCTGTGTGCTGATGGGTGGGTGGGTTCAGACAGACAAGCTTCTGCCTCTTGCCAGGTTGACATTGAAATCAATGGGGAGCCTGTGGACCTGCACATGAAGCTGGGTGACAATGGAGAAGCCTTCTTCGTCCAGGAGTCAGAGGAGAATGAGGTTGGTGATGAAGAGGTGCTGGTGGTCTGTGTTCTCCTGTGACCACCTGGAAGCACAGGCTTGAGGTGGAAGGACCAGGTTTGGACTGCTCTTCTTCCTCAGGGTGACTCCATTATCCCCTCTGTTTTGTGTGTCCAGAAAGGTTCTTCCTTGAAGGACCTTGCAACCAGTGTGGACAATCTGAGCATTGGAGCACCCTAAGGGAGCACTAGACCAAATATTTCCATCTCAAACTGTCCTCCATCAATTGGTATGGCTGCTGGCCAGCCAGGCAGATATCTCGGAGCTTGGCCTCTTGAAGGATCTTGTGACAGGGACGAGAGTGAGCCAGATACTGTGGCAGGCTGCCTGCTCTACTGGGAAGTGGGATGAGACTAGTTGTGGCTTCCAGAAATCTTAGCAGCTCTCTCCCAGGCTGACTTGTGGTTGCTGCTAGCTTGGGCTGGGTTTGAGAGCAAGGAGAGGGCTCTGGAGCCGGATTCCATTTGCAGCCTTCGTAATTCTGGTCTCATGGTGCCATCTCCTGCCTGCCTCTCCTTGCCCACATTAAAGACGTCTTTAGTTTGTGGCTGGGTAACCCTGTTCTTGTGGTTTGTGTGTTCTTGGTTTTTTTTAACTTGCATGTACAAAACCTTTCCTTTTTGGGCCTAGCCACAAAACCACCCCAAGCTGAGGGCTCAGTGGTGTTGGTTGTGTTGGTGGTGTATGTTGCATAGATGAGAGCTGTGAGTTGCCAGGCTGGAAAAGAGGGCGCTGGAGCTGACGGGCTCTTCCATCCCTCTTGCAGGGCAGCATTCCCTCCCGCCTCTGCACCTCTCCCATCCCCAGGGAGGACAGCACAGAGGACGCCGCTCAGCCTCCTCATGGGCAGGAGGCCTCCAGCACTGAAGCAGCTCTGCGCAAGAGGAGGCGACGCAGGAGGAAGCCCAAGCAGAAGGAGATGTCGGACTCTGAGTTAGAAGGTTGTGAGGAGACCAAAAGTGAGATTTCCATGGAGGAGCCGTGCAAGCTGTCAGCCCCCAGGTGAGCGGCCGGGTCTGGGCAGGGTGATCACAGAACAGCGGGGGTTGGAAGGAACCTTTGGAGGCCATCTAGTCCAACTCCCCTGGCAAATCAGGTTCACCTAGAGCAGGTTGGACAGGAACACATTCAGGTGGGTTGTGTGATGTCGTGGGTCAAGCTTGTAGATTTTCTTGGTGACACCCAGCAGTACTGAAACATGGGGATAGTTTTTTGCATTGGACCCCAGTCTCTCATGGAGTAGAAAGCCAGTGGAAATGGTAAAGTTGGGTATTGCCAGCTTTTCAGGTGAGGAGGCTGGTGCCTGAGAGCAGAGTAACTGACCTCTTTCCTCCTTTGCAGTGATTCAGTGTATTTCTCCTTTGCTCATCTCCCTGAAGAAGAAACCAGGTTGTTGCCGTCCCCAGAGATGCACCCTTACTCAGATGGGGAGCTGGCCTCCATGGACAGGTGACGTGCAGAGCCAAGGTGATCTGCTTGGCTTTGGTGAGACCAGGGAATGTGCCTTGTGGCTGGGAAGGTGGTAAGGAAAAGAGATTTGGGGTGTCAGGAGAGGAGGGTTTTCCTGGCTTGATATGGTGTGGCTGGAGGAAAGCTTGGAGCTAATGAGGGATGCTTCTGGCCATGGTCACAGATGCAAGAAGCCTGTGTGCACTGGGCTCTGCTGCTTCTGGACAACTGGTGGCACAACACTTTGCTTCCTTGGGCCTCAGCTTCCCATAGGTCTTTCTCTTGTTTTGTAAGTGATGGTCTTATGGGGCAAAAGTGACTCCGTGGAGAAGCCAGCCTTATAGCATTCTTGGCCCTAAATGTCCTTGCAGTGATAGGAAAGCATAGGTCTGCAGGGTAGATGAGGTCCAATATTCCCTTCTCTTCTTGTAGCCCCATCCTGAGCCATCCATCTTCTCCCAAAAGTGACTCTGAGCTGGAGATCAGACCACAGGACAGTTTTGCTCTAGGGGCTGAATCCCATGTGCAGTGGACCTGGGGAAGGCTTCCTCAGGTGAGTCCCTGCTCTTGCTCTTCTCTAGCAGCTGGTGGGAAGGGGGTGTGTGAAAGGCCTGCAGAAAGTGGAGAAGGCTGTGGCCAGGTGAACTTGGAGGAGCTATCCTCTTCTGCCTGATGCTTTGGGCAACATCCCATCCTCAAACCTGTTGTTCTGCTTTCTTTGAGGTGAATAAATCAGAACGAGTTGAACCAGCCAAGTCCACAAAGACCCTTGCTACTGCAGCAACTACTGTCTCTGTGACACCAGTCCTGGTGGATGAGGCAACCCATCTTGTTGCCACCTCTGAAGGTCTGAGAGGAGGTCCAAGCCCAGCAGGACACCAGGGTGCACCTTGTTCCTCCACTGTGTCTGTTGCTGAGCCAACACCCACACTGCGCGATGGGAATGACCTCCCCAGGCTGAAGGATATGCCCAGTGCTGTGGGGGCAGAGAGCTTGTTGGAGGCCTCCTCAGCCCCACAAGAGAAACAGGAGGGAGGCGAGAGTGTTGTGTCAGAGGTTCAGCCAGATACGGAGCCCTTTGAGGGAGCTGCTGCTCCAAGGCAGGTGGGCTCAGAGGGCCCTGAGCCCCAGCTGGAAAGTCAGAGGAGACAAGGTAAGTGGGTGACTGACACTGCTGTGGTGTTTGAGCCCAGAGATGTATGTGACTTGGATGGGGGGCTGGCTTGTTCCTTCAGTGTAACTCCATCATGACTGCCCTGGGTATTCAAGATGTGACATGTTTTCTTTGCCTTCTCCGTGTGCTGCCAGCTCCTGTGCTTTGAAGAGACATTCCTCAGGTTTCCTCCATTCAGTGACCACCCAACACCTCAGGAAGGCTTCCTTGCATGCAAAAGCAGAGACACCATTAGAAGATTTCTCAGCAGCGTAGGCTATGACTTAACTTGAAGTGTCTGGCAGCACCTGGCCTGACTTGTATCTTCATCCTGGGCATGCCAAGTCAGGTGGAAAACCACACTGTTAAGGGATGTTTTGCTCTGTGTTTTTAAGAACTCTTATGTTACCTGTCCTAACCAACCTTACTCTTCCAGCCAGCATAAATTCAGAACAAAATTGTATCCCTGAAGAAGAGATGCTTGTATAAAGGGGGAGATCACAAAGTGTTATCTTGCACGGTGCTAACTTCAAACGGCACCTGCAGATTGCCATAGCAGAACATAGGCAGGACTTCGGCCTGTCCTTTGTGTCCTCTTGGCAAATGGTCTTGTGCTAGTGCAGGTGTCTTGAGGTACTTCTGTTGCTGTTGATTTAAGGGAGCTTTTCAAGTAGGAAAAGAGGTGTCCTCTTTATGATATGTGAATATGATTGAGGGAAATGCTGAGCAAACAGGGAAGAGCCTTCCCAATAGATGCTGAGATAGTTGGAAAGGTGATTCAGCTAAGCTCTCTCCCTTCTGTCTGTGCATTGAGGAGCCATCAAACGAAGTCCTCACTTGGGTCCCAGTGATGTTTACCTGGAAGACCTCTCCCATCTGGATGAGGAGCAGGTGGCTCTCTATTTCCCCAGGAGGTAGGGGTGGCCCCAGCTGGCCAAGCTCAGGCCTTCTTGAGCAGTTCCCTTACAGCAGAGGGTGGGGGTATGTCTAAAGCTATTGCCTCATGTTGCCGCTGTTTCTTCTCTTGCTGGCAGTGACGCAGAGCAGAGTCCAAAGACTGTGGGAGACCCCAGAAACTCTCTGTGTGTCCAGCTATCATCCGACTTGCCTGCTGACAGCCCCATGGACTCTGACCCTGATCTGATGCCCGCAATTGCCCTGTCGCTGTGCGGAGGCTTGGGGGGCAGCAAGCAGATCTCTCACGGTAGGTGGGAGGGGAGAGGGGGAGTCTGATGTCCATTATATACACCTGTGGCATGACACAGCCTCTGTCCCACCAGAGAAGTTCATGGAGCACAAGGTCTCCTACCAGCAGTTTGCTGAGAATCCAGGACTTGTCGATGACCCAAACCTGGTGATACTGATCAACAAGAAGTGAGTGACCTGCTCTTCCTGCTGCTTCATCCCAAGACGACCAGTGTGCCCCCTCTGTCCCTACAGGAAACACTCCCGTAGGAGTGTGACTGCATCCCAGACAATGATTATACCACAGTAGTTGTGGGAGGGGATTTGCTGGCCATGCTGCAGGATGGGGATCTGGAAACACTCCTTGCTCCAGGAGTAGTGATTTTCCCATCCCTCTTGCTTCTTCCAGGTATTATAACTGGGCAGTGGCTGCTCCCATGGTCCTGTCCCTGCAGGCTTTCCAGAGGAACATTCCTGAGGTCAGTGGCACAACACACTTACTGGCCATGCTTTTCAGCAGGGCTTGACAAGCACAGTGGGGAAGCAAGAGGTCAAGCTGCCCATCTGGGGCTTTGCGGGCAATTTGGGGCAGAGCTGAACACCACTCCCACCCACAAACCCTGAGGTCTGCCCTTGCCCCTAGAGATACCTTGGCGTGGCGTTTAGAGATACTTGGGTACCACTGATGCCTGGAGAACAGAAATTTCATTGTCAAAAATATCTTATTCTGATGGTTGTACCTGTGCAAGGCTGGGTGGAGCTGGTGCTCTGGCATTCTGGAGGATTTGGAAATGCCTGAGCCTACTCCAGGGCTCTGTAGACCTGGGTGGGATTATATGGAATAAGGTATCCAGTTTTGGGTTTGTTTTCTCAAGCTGCACAAAGGGAACAAGTCATTATACTTTCACCCCAAAACCCTCTCAGCTCGCAGTGTGGCAGGAGTCACGCATCTTATCCTGGTGAATAATCTTGCCTGGACAACCCTGCCTGGACAAGGGTCTCCTTAGCCTGTTAGCAGCTGAGCCTCCCTGGGATCAGGACTGACTTCATCCCATGTTCTTCCATGTTTACAGAGCACTATTAACCGACTGGTGAAGGAGAAGATGCCCAAGAAAGGCAGCAGGTGGTGGTTCTCCTGGAGGAGGAGAGAATTCCCAGCAGAGGAGGTGTTTGCAGTGGTGGCTGTGACAGTGTCCCCAGGGCACAGGAGTCATTCTGGTGGCTGGCAGGGGTTGGGGGTAGGAGAGCAGCAGGGTCCTGGGCATGGCCTGAGGCTGAGAGCAGCCACAGGGACCCGGTGGCAAGTTGACTTCTGAAGGCTGTTGTTGTCTCCTTGGGTCTGTGAATGCCTGAGCACCATTTACCAGTTGTTGGTGGTGTTGGTTATGCATTAAAGTGGACCTTGTGCTCCTCGTGCCACAGCCCAGGCACCACGTGTGCTTGCCGATCTCCTTGCCCCACCACAGCACCAGGTTGTGGTCCCTCTTCCGTGGGGCCATGTCCTTCCTCATGAAGGCAGGGGGATGCATTGCCACCTCCTTTTCTGGTATCGCTGCTCCAAGTGGCAGTAAAGCAAAGCAGCCCCTGCTCCTGCCCTCGGCACTGAGGTACTAATGATGCCACTCTGCCTGCAGCAGCCATCGAGGCCGGGGAAAGCCAACGTGGGGATGCTGCAGCACGACTCTGCTCCGCAGAGGTGAGTGCCTCCCTCCCAGGTTGCCTTTAGGAGTCTGTGTGTGCTCGTGATCTCTTCTCCTCCTGAATGACCACTTATTCCCAAGTCTACCTAATGCATGAAGGCAGAAAGCTCTCTTAAGGCTCTGGCTGACCCCAGTTCAGCCAAGCTCCTCCATGGCTGCTTCCTGGTGGGTGGGTTGTCTGGGGTCCCCTCCAGATATCCCCTAGTGCTCATGGGGAAAATTGTGGTCTGCAGAGTGAAGACAACATCCCTTCCTTCTGTAGGCAGGAGGAGGTGGTGTCATCCAGCGATGATGAGCCCCTGCACCCCAGGGACATGTTAGCAGTGGATGCTCCTGCACAGAAATCTCAGCCAACCTACAAGAAATCCCTGCGACTCTCCTCAGAACAAATTGTATGTACTTAACTTCTCCTTCGTTGCCTGCTTGTGTGTGTAGGGGTGAGACAACCCTTAAAGAGGGATTTCTCTACTCCCAACCTCCATGTTTTTATAGGGTATTAAGTATTTCACCCTGGCTGGCCATGCTGTAGAGGCTTGGGGTCTCTGGCCTGGCCAGGCAGCAGTCAGGCCTCTGGCAAGCCCTGAACTGGTGTGAATCACTGCTGGTGTACCACATTTGTTCTTTCTCTGCCACAGGGAAAGCTGAATCTGCAGGATGGCCCCAATGAGGTGGCATTCAGCGTGACAACTCAGTACCAGGGCACGTGCCGCTGTGAGGCCACCATCTACCTGTGGAACTGGGATGATAAAGTGGTGATCTCGGACATCGATGGCACCATCACAAAGTAAGGGGCCTTTCTTCCACCCCACATGCCTGCTCCCCCCTATTTAGGGGAAAGCGTCCTGTCAAGGCTTACATAAGCAGCCAGGAGGGACCACAAATCACATCGTCTTCTTGATACCTACCAGGTTGGATCAGCCTAACCTGGTCTCCTTCTCTTCTAGGTCAGATGCTCTTGGGCACATCTTGCCGCATCTGGGAAAAGACTGGACTCATCATGGGATTGCTAAACTCTTCCACAAAATCCACCTGTAGGTATTGGATTGACTGAGGCCAAGGGGAAGTGGGAGGATGATGGAGGAGAGGTTGAGTGGGGGCCGAGGTCAGGGCTCCTTACTCGCTGATGCTGGCTGAAATAGCCTAATCTTTTACCAACAGTGATGGCTGATGCTTGCTGTGCTGTCTAGTTGTGGGGTGAAAGCGGGGGCTCTCCCCTGGGAGCAGATGCTTGTGTTGCCTTCCCTGGCAGGAGCGTGTGTCGGTGAAGGCTTTGCTGGGGAGATGGAGATGAGCACTGAAGGAGATGAAATCACAGGAAACTACACCAGAGAGGCCACAGGCACAGCCGAATACCTTTGGCTGTCCGTCCAGCGGCAGCACGGGGGTCCACACAGCACTCCCAGCCCCGTGGATGGGTGCCGGTTGCCTCTCTGGGTGCCCAGCTCCCGCTCCCCGCACCCTCGGGGGACCGACC